GCAGCAGGGCTCCAGCAGCTATTTAAAGAGCCCGGGACTCCCTTGTTTCTACTGCCCCGGCCCTTTAAATAGTCGCCGGAGCCCCGCCGCTGCTACTCCAGGGCTCGGGGGCTATTTAAAGATTGGGGCAGTAGAAGCAGGGAAGCTGCGGACCCTTTAAATAGTCCCCAGGGCCCTGGGGTAGCGGGTGCTCCAGGGACTATTTAAAGGGCTGGGGTTCCAGCTGCCTCTGCCGCCCTAGTCCTTTAAATAGCCCCCAGAGCCCCCGGGCTGCTGCTACCCTGGTGGGGGGGGGGGAAGGGGAAAGAGAAGGGGGGGCACTTACCTTACAGGGTGGGCTGGGCTTGCTCTGACCCCCTCAGCTCCGCCCCTTCCGCCCTAGGCCCTGCCCCATCTGGGGGCCAGAGCTAGCCCCAGCGTACTGGTAAATCACTCGACTTACTTTCACCCCTGATTTCCAGCTCCCTGAATGGCCATTTGCGGCAATGGGGAGCTGGGATTAATTTAGAGAAGACCTGAGGCCTTAGAACTGGGGAGTAGCCAAGGTGATGTATTGTAGACTGAGTTCACTCAGACCTGAGGACTGGGGCCAATACATCTAGTATTCTGGCCATGCATTTCTGAAATACGCGACCAGCTTCCTGCTTTCTACCCTCTGGGAATACTGTCTATTTGTTTTATAGTCCTATTCTGCTGCCCATTACCACATCCCACGTATGACCAACTGGCAAGGGCAATCTTAGAGCAGCAGGTGGGAATGCCAATAGTAGTTGGGCTCTCAATCAGTTTACTGCACTGGTTCCTTTTCCTTTAATTCCAAGTGTTTAATTCCAGTGTGGAGTTATTCCATAATAGTGTAAAAAGTATGATGATTTTAGGGAGGATCTGATTTCAAAGCCTCAAAAAGAAAGGCATCCCTAGAGCACTGTAAGCCAAACCAAACCACATGTATCTGTGATTTTCCTGCTAGTACTTAATTTCACCAGTATCACATAACAAAGTGCAATAATAAGAATTTGAAGCTAAATTCCTCTCCCTCTCTGTGCTGTAAATCAGTTTCTTCCTATGCTCTAAATCCACAAGCTATACCACTCAGCTTGCCAAGACTCAACTGTGGAGCAAAGATTCAAAATGAGGAAGATATAGAAAATTCTTAAGATGAGGCAGGATTCACATTCTCAGCAGAAATATGTTTTGCCACCTCCGTTGCATGACTCATTGTTTTCAGGGCTGTAATTTAAAATAATATAAGAGCAAGACCACCAGCTCTGTGCAGAATGTGGGTAAATTTGGGTCCAGAATTTGGGGTTTCTCTTATAAGTAGACAGTAGCTGAGAGGTATGACCACACCTCCATGATGGCCTGGGTTAAGTTGACTGTTAACTGAGTAATCAAGCACCTTCTGCAGATGATGCCTTCAGCGCCACCTGCGTAACCTCTAATTGTTCTAACCCAATAACAATCACAGTCTTAGCATAAATTAAAGTGACAGTGCTTTAAAGAGCAGATTGAAAGGTAAAAATTGAAGTCATTGGTTGATTAGGTTTGTGTGTGAGGAGAGACATGGGAGCTAAACGCGCTTTCATTTGAAAACACACTTTTGAGGCGCAACACTCCCATCAACCCAGAGTCAGACTTTGTGGGTGTCATGTCACTTGTATACTGGAGAGCTCTACAGAGTGATGCTTAGCTGATTAGTGGAAATGCCCCATTTGGTAACAAAGGGTGTGTCTGCCTAGTACCTTCAGACCCAGTTGGAGCATTTTGTTTTTGAGATGGGCTTGGGGAACTGTGACATAATTTTTTGCCAACTAAATGCAAGCAACTGGCTCCTAGCCCCAAGGAGCAGTTTGCACAGGGCATGCCCAGCGAGCCAGGGCGCTGAAATCCCAAGCATAACTATCTCCTTATACAGCGATCAGGCCTGACCCTCACTGCCTTGGACCTATAAAGTCATTTACACAGGTGCAAAGTGCTTCAGATGTTAGCTACCTGGTCGGCATAGACCCACCTTACGGGAGGATAGGGGGAGAAGTCACCATTGTTATTTGTAGTTTACCAATGAGGACACTAAGACGGGAGAGTTAAGTGATGTGAGCAAGGTTACAGAGCCAGGTTTAGAACATTGGAATCCCTTATTCTCAGCCCATGCTCCATCCACGCTGCCTCCTGCTGTTAAACACGCTGCCTCTCCTGCCATTGAAATACCCCCTGTTGTGGCCAGAGGTTACTGCACTAGGTGTTTTGCCGAGGACCTGCCTTGGAGTGGAGGGGAACTTGTGCTCATCCTAGTGCTCACCTCAGCAGCCTGGCTGGCCTTGCCCTCCACATAGTCATGAACTCATCTGGAGTTCTCCTAAACATTGAGGGAGCTAGGGCCAGGGTCTTTTCAGCCCAAGGCTGAGGAGCTTTAGGGGAAATCAGTGGCTGGCTCTCAGACCTGATGATCTACGTTTTCAAGGCTGTCATTGCACATGGGGGTAGGGGCCGGGGGGAGAAATTTAAGGAAATCTGAGAGTTTTCTTAGGCTCCTGGAATCAGTGGGGATCCTTGAGTGCAGGGTCGTGGGCCCCAAATCCAGCTCCGACACACCTCAGTCTCAAATTCAAACCTGCCCCTGTGGTGGTCAGGCAGCAATTCTGTTACCTAAAGGGGAGTTTCTCCCTGGCTGAGCCACTATAACTGATGCTAAACAGCTCCCAGTTTAAAATCCAGAGCACCCCCAGCAGCTCACCCAGAAGTTTATTTACTCAAGTTGGCCAAGTATTCCAAAAAAGAGTTCCTGTGTATTAATTTGATTATTTTAAACTATCAGCTTTGCTCTGCTCCTTCCTTACTGTCTTTGCTTTCTGCTGATGAGAGTAATCAAAGGTTACTGGCCCAAATGTTCTTGGAAAGCAAATTCTAGCATTCATGGTGGAAATGTCTGCATGCTTGTGCAATCAGGATGTGGAGACAATACCATGTGACTTACCTGATCAATCACAGCTAATCGGTTCTGGTCACGTTTACATTTGTGAGCTGTCTAAAGCTTTAAAAAAAATATTTGTTGACTGTTCATAATGAATGAATATAAAGATATCACAGTCCACTCATGGATACTTTGCAAGGAGAAAAAAAGAACAGAGGAATAGCCAGAGTAGATTGGACCGTCCAATATCCTGTCTGTAACAATGGCTAAGTGCTTCAAAGGAAGGTGTAAGAAACTCTGTAGGAAGTATAATCTTCCCCCAGGAAAAGCTTTTCCTAATCTAGAGCTTCACTGAAGTGCAGAAGCCCTTCAAAAACCCTTGTTTATTTTTTTGATATTTACTATTATAACTTTGGCTATTCTTGTTATCTAAATGTCTAATATCTCTATAAATGCTGCTAAACTAGTATACTCTGTGATATATTGTCTCAATGCGTTCCACAGGCTAATTGTGTGGAAAAAGAGACTAAATTAACTGCATAAATTGCTTCAAGAGAATTATTCACTCAGCTCTGTGTTTAGCACCAGCTATGCCCCCAATCCTGCAAACTGCTTTGTGCAGGGATACTCCAGTATCCACTCAGAGCTCCACTGAAGTCAAAGGGCTCCTGTGTGGGTACAGGGATCTGGCTTCATGAAGCAGTGTGCAGGATCATGTGTAGCTTTTTTATAGGTCATCTTATCATCCCCAAGACCACCTCCCTACTAGCACAACCCTTAGGAAGAAGCAATTTACAACTAGGCTTTTTGGTGTGTTTGGTATGAAGGCACTTGAAGAACACTAAAATAAATTAGACTGCTATTGTGATGCTATTTCCTAGGGGATCCCTTTGCCAGGTTTTCTCTCCCCTGCATGATTGTACACATTGGAAAGCCTCAGGCATCATCCATTCAGTCTGGCATTTCTGAGAAAAATATTCAAATTGAAACCCAGCTCCTCCTCCAGAGCAAATGAAAACCTGCCCTCCACTCCTCCTCCTCCCCCACCCTCCCGCGTAAGGCAGTTTAAATAAATCAATTCTTTGTGCAAACATAACCCCAGCAAGGTCTCTGAAAGAACAGCTCTCTGGAAATTTACAAACGCAGTTTTTCTGCAAGTGAAAACAAGCAGAGAGCAGAACATGCTAGCATTGTGTGTGCTGCAAACCTCCCACCTGCTTGAGAGAAAGATTTCTTCCTTTCTTTCGCTTGCTCTCTGCTTCTAAAAGTTCCCCTTTGCCAGTCTCACCTGCTAGAGACATGAAAGGCAAATTAGCACAAACATAGTCTGCACGACAAGTAGGCATCCTGTCACCCTTTCCCCCTGGGACACCTGAATTAAAAGATGGATCAGCTCCATCTTTTAGGGTTTTTCCTGCTGCCCATCACTGTGATATAGTGGCATCTTTCATGTTAATAAGAGTGGCAATAGCAAAGCCCCTCTTCCTGGAGCCTCTAGCTTTCATTAGGTTATACAAACTCTGGTAGGAAAGGGGATTTTGGGTCGGGGGCGAGAAGAGGGTGATTGAGGCCGTGAATATCTTTATGATGGGAAAGCTGTATCAAATGTTTTGCAGCACTGCCTCAGGAATCCAACTCTGCATTGGTGTCTTCTATGATCCACAGGACATGGGGGGAGGGAAGGAGAGGAAGGGAGGAGAGAGAGAGCCGACCTGTCATTGGAATGTCATATGTGTGACAGATTGTTACTCATACCTGCCTGGGAGGGGTGGTGTTTGAGCCTGGCTCAGCCTCCCTGTGCCTTTAAAGTTCTCTTTACACACACAAGAAAAGAGGGAGGAGAAATAAAGTTTCATCATCACTATTTCAGAAAACAGTCTTATAAAAACTTCATGCTCACACTCATTAAGTCTCACATGCTTGGACAGCTTTCAGTTGTGACTTATCAGAAACCAGGCTGGAGGAAGGGAAGGAGAGAGGCTTATATCAACAGACAGCTGAGCACTTCGGCGTTTTGGTATACTTCTGATTTACTGGCAAGTTAGGGAAAAGAGAGAGGAAACTAACTGTGTGCATTGGCCTCCAACAGCAATTCTAACCAAACAATGGGAGTTCAGCCTGAAAACAGCAAAGCTCCAGGCGTCAGCAGTAGCCCCCAAAACTGTCGCACCTGTTACCAGAACATCTTTTGCAATATCAAGGTAAGGAGCTTAACTTTGTATTACTTTTCTTCCTTAGCTGATTGGGAGAATGAAGACATGTTTGCTTTTCAAATTTTCACAAGTCTTTTACCAACAGCAGCATTGGTCCTGATTCACACTTTTTTTAGCTCCTAGAACTCAGTGCATTTGTTAAAACGCAACATTTCAAACTCCCTTGTTCTCCTGCAACACCAAGTACTAAGAGAAGCTGGCAAGCATGTGGCAGGGCAACAAATGTAGATTTGGGGTACAGTAGTTCTTGACATGGTGAATACTCGCAGTATAGTGCAATGCAAGTTTCTTGTTGAGATAGTTGTTCACAATAAGAGAGGCACAGACACATAGGACTAGATTAACAGGTGGGAGAGCTATGCCGATTTACACCACCTATAGATCTGGCCCCCTACTGTTTAACCCACAGCATGTCTTTTGTTAGGGAATTATTGGGATCATGGTGTGAAAAGAAAACACTGCCTTAAAATCATATGAATTTGCTTGGAAAATCTCTGCAAGGACAATTCAGTTGTTAATACGGTTAAAAGTGTGAGAGATTTCTCAACTGGTTTAGTTCTCCCTTCCTGTAGTCAACAAAGAGGTGGATTTATTCACCTGCACCCTTTATTTACAGGGTATGTCCACACTGGGAGAGAGGGGTCTTTTTTTTAAAATGCCACAGCTAAAACCCTGCTATAGACAAGGTCTAGAGATGTTAAAACTACAACTTGCCCTGTCTATGCTAGCATTTTAAAACATGTTAGTGACCACATTTTGAAACACACCTTCCCCCCCCCCACTATGTGCTTTAGTGCACTCTTTGGGCCAGACCTTAGCTGGTGTAAATGGTGTGACAGGTGTTAATGGAGTTGTGCTGACTTGCACCAGCTGAGGATCTGGCCCTGTCTGTTTTGCTTGTTAGAACTCCCCCTGAGGACATATTAATTCTTTGCTCCCCCAAACCAAAGTCTAAAAAACTGCCAACAGCTCCTAGAGAACTGCTGGGAGATCTGATTCCTAAACTAACCTTGTGAAGCTTTCTCTATTTCACAGACACATGTCTATATTCTTTTACTGGTGTGAGTAGCATGAATGGGAGGGAGTAACATGCACTGTGTCAACAGGGAAATAGCCCAGTGTGTGTGAGAGCATGAGCCAGCAGGTAGGTGTGTGTGAGGGATGACAGAACAGATGGGGTGGATAGTATGCGGCTGGCTGCAGGGGTTCGGAGTGGCACAGCAGTGGCATCGCTCCCTGTAAGATCTGACTCCCCAGTGTAAGTGACCGACTGAGAAGCAAGGCAGCAGACCAGCCATCGATCTCCAGGCTGGCAGCAGTTGTCAGTACTGGTGCACTCTGCCCTTGGGGCTGGTGACTTCCCAGTGGCATCAGATAATAATTGTTTGTTTACCATCTGATAGTAGCACTGTAAGGAAGGGTTTGTCAGCACTTCCCTTAGGAACCAAACCTTTTACCGCAGCAGGTCTCAAATGCCCCAGGCTAAGCCAGGCACTGAGCTCCCAAGCACACCTTTTTTAACCTGATTGTCTTTTTAATCATTTGTTTCCTTTTCCTCTGATGGGCAAAGAACAAGCCCTCCCCCGTCTCACCTTCTGAAGGTCTGATGCTTCTTGGGCAGTCCTACAGCAACACTGACGAAATTACGTCAGTTAATTTGTACCATCCCTTCTGCTCTTGGTTACACCAGTGTAAATCCACAGTAACTCCCCTGAAGTCTTAGCCCTGACTGTCAGCTGCATCAGCAGCTTTGGACTGCCTTGCTAGCACAGAGGGGCCCTAACCCCACTGAATGGACTGTGAGGGATTCTCCAGTGGTGCAGAGCTGGCTATGTCATCGTGGCTTCTCTACTCCCTGCTGATCTCTGGCTACCATAATTGTTGAAATGTGGTATGCAGGCAGTCAGACTAGATGATCAGATGGTCCCTTCTGGCCTTAAACTCTATGAATCTATGAAATTCACCTTGGGCTGTTGGCAGCTGGTCTAATTTAGATTACTCCAGTTTATACCAAGCGACAGACTCAGGGTACAGCCAGCCCAGGACTGGAAGTCTGAAAACCGGTCTTAAAAACCACCTGAACTGTGCTCTCCTGAGTAGCAGTGTGTGCTCCTCAGCAGCAGCCCAGGTTTGGGCCTAGGCTTTACTGCAGATTTATGCAGTTATAACTGACAGCAGAATCTTTCCCACAGTGCAGCGTGTACTACTCCTGTTGGCACAAAAGGCTTTTGGATGCCCAGAGGGAGGTGGGAAAAATATCCTGAGACCTTAAAGAAATCATTGGTCTCAAGACTGTTTTAAGGTTGAAAAACTTGTTAGAGTGGAAACAGTTATTTTACAGGATAGTCCCCTAAAAATTAATATCCTTCTAACTAGTTTCGGAGTAGCAGCCGTGTTAGTCTGTATCCGCAAAGAGAACAGGAGGACTTGTGGCACCTGAGAGACTAACACATTTATTAGAACGTAAGCTTTCGTGAGCTACAGCTCACTTCATCGGATGCATAGAATGGAACATATAGTAAAGATACACACACACACATACAGATAAGTTGGAAGTTACCATACAAACTGTGAGAGGCTAAATAGTTAAGATGAGCTATTATCAGCAGGAGAACAAAACTTTTGTAGTGATAATCAAGATGGCCCATTTAGACAGGTGACAAGAAAGTGTAAGGATACTTAACTTAAGGAAATAGATTCAATATGTGTAATGACCCAGCCACTCCCAGTCTCTATTCAAACCCAAGTTAATGGTATCTAGTTTGCATATTAAGTCAAGCTTGGCAGTTTCTCATTGGAGTCTGTTTTGGAAGCTTTTCTGTTGCAAAATTGCCACCCTTAAATCTTTTACTGAGTGGCCACAGAGGCTGAAGTGAAGTGTTCTCCTACCAGTTTTTGAATGTTATGGTTCCTGATGTCAGATTTGTGTCCATTTATTCTTTTGCAGAGAGACTGTCCGGTCTGGCCAATGTACATGGCAGAGGGGCATTGCTGGCACATGATGGCATATATCACATTGGTAGATGTGCAGGTGAACAAGCCCCTGATGGCGTGGCTAATGTGATTAGGTCCTATGATGGTGTCATTTGAATAAATATGTGGACAGAGTTGGTATCGGGCTTTGTTGCAAGGATAGGTTCGTGACTTAATATGCAAACTAGATACCATTAACTTGGGTTTGAATAGAGACTGGGAGTGGCTGGGTCATTACACATATTGAATCTATTTCCTTAAGTTAAGTATCCTTACACTTTCTTGTCAACTGTCTAAATGGGCCATCTTGATTATCACTACAAAAGTTTTTTTCTCCTGCTGATAATAGCTCATCTTAACTAATTAGCCTCTCTCAGTTTGCATGGTAACTTCCAACTTATCTGTATGTATATATATATCTTACTATATGTTCCATTCTATGCATTGGATGAAGTGAGCTGTAGTTCACGAAATCTTATGCTTTAATAAATTTGTTAGTCTCTAAGGTGCCACAAGTACTCCTGTTCTTCTAACTAGTGTTCACCCAAATCCAACATATCTTCATGAGAGAGACAAGGCGGGTGAGGGAATATCTTGTATTGGACAAACTTCTGTTGGTGGAAGGGACAAGCTTTCGAATGCCACAGAGCTCTTCTTCAGGTCTGGGTAGCTCGAAAGCTTGTCTCTTTCCTCAGCAGAAGTTTTTCCAGTAAAAGATATTACCTCACCCACCTTGTCTTTAATATCCTGGGACCATCCCGGCTTCAACAACACTGTAAACAGCAGGTCTTCCTTGTGTTTTGAACAGTAAATTCTGCACCATACCTCTCCATTCATGAAGCTGGCTTGGGTCTGATGGACCCAGGGACCTCCTGTCAGTGGAGCTTTATTCAGCTGATGCGTGCAAAGCTTCAGGCTCCTCTTTGACCCCTTGCTAAGCCTGGATAACCAGGTAGCATGCCTTCTTTCACCTCCAGCTTGATAGGAAGCTCTGTCCCTTCCTCCTAGTTGAGGGCCTAAACACAGAGATCCATGCATTGGTCATCACCAGGCTGGATCAGTATAACTCATTGTATTTGAATCTGAATGTGAAGATGATACACAGGGTTCAGCTTGTACAGAATGTGGCTGCCCACTGTCTATGTGGCTCAGGCCACGGTGAGTACATCAGGCCTGTGTTCACGTCCCTCTGCTGATTCCCAATCAGCTTCCAACACCAATTTAAAGCCTTGGTCCTAATTTTCAAAGCTATTAATGGATCAAGCCCCAGCTACACCAAAGGCCAATTTTGATCTTTGAACCACCATAGCTGCTGTACACCTCTGGAGCAATGCAGAGCCTACAGCCCAGGAGGAAGCATGTGAGAGCTGGGAACAAAGCATTCTCTGTTGAGGGGATTTTGCAAATCCAAAGTCTTACCATCTTTAGGAAACATTGTGAGGCCTTCCTCTTTGAGAAAGACTTTCTACCATAAGTGACATTCAATAGATGAACCACCTCTTCTATTTTCCTCCCTGCCAATGTTGCAAAGGAGCCTTTGAATAAGTTAGTCAGACCCTTTAGCATTTCCAAATGAAGAAACAGTGAACTAGAAGAGTTATTAGTATTATTAATATTAGCTATTTCTTTACCTTGTAAATGTGTAAAAGTTAATGCTTTTCACAAGACAGAGAAATAGCTAAGCCTTTGTGAGACAATATATTATGTATATATATTTTCTACAAGTATCTTAACTAACTAGAAATACTGAGATTTTCTCTCTGTCTACAGAGATAGACAGATGGGATGGAAGTCTGGGTCAAAAATGATTGCCCCTGAGGTTGAAAAGTGACTGACAGCCAGTGGCACCAATGCCCTCAGTCAAAAGATGTAGTGGCAAATACAACAGGAATGGCTGGGAGTGTTATTGTGCCATGTGGGTTTCATCTTTAATCAAAGGGCAATAGTTTGCCCGGCAGCGTAACCCCCCAGTTTATAAAGCATTCTACCCATTATTTAAAAGATACATGCTGGCA